CCCAGCCCCTGGGGCGCCCTCTCCGCTCCCGCGGGGACCTCCATCCCCTCCCCGAGACAAGCCTCGGAACTGACGGACGCCGACGTTTCGGGCCCCTACTCACCGGGTCCTCAGCACTCCCTGGCCCTGACCTTGGAGCGCCCCGGGGCGCGAAGAACGAGCCCGGGGGCCCGGCGCGTTCCAGCCACTCGCGCGGATGCCGGTGCCTACCTCCCGGCCGGCCCCTTCCTACATTCGCCCGGCCCGCCCGCCAGGCGAGCAACGTGGCCCTTCCCCGGGAAGGGCGGGACGGGGAAGGGCCGAGGGGCGGGACCCGCTGCCAGTACTCGCGGGGCCCCTTCCTCCAGGCCGGCCTCCTCCGCGGGGCTTGGCAGTTAGCCGCCGTCAGGATCCCAAGTTTTTCAGGGTTCCCAACTTCGGGAGGCGCTGTGTTGACAGTTGTTACACTGGGCCCTTCCCTGCTCACAACCCTGAACCCGACCCGGTGGAGACTTCCGGAGTTTTGCGCTCCCAAGCCCTACAGCCTCAAGGAGTTGATGGGGACCCCAACGTGAGGTGGGCCGGCCAGCCCCACAGCTCAGCTCTCATCAACCTGCTAATAAACTCGAGCTTCCTGGAGGGAGGAGATGGGACAACGGAGGGGCCAAAGGGTGCAGCAGGGCTGTGAGGACAAGAACCACGGTACCAAAAAAAGAAGCCAAAGAGGAAACACCTGCTGCCAAAAGCCGAAGGGGCCAGCTGTTTTCCATTTTTCTTTTTTTTTTTTTTAAATACTTTGTTTTTTCCTTTCGATGTGGGGAATGAGAGCTGTTCGCTCTGAGTATAAGGGCAGAGACAGACTTGTTCTGTGGTAAGAACCATGAGTCCTAAGGAGTAAAGGACTTAATCTTAGAATTTTGTGAAAGGGGGTGAGGCAGCACCCTGGAAAAGCCTTGATGTCTTCATCTAATCCTGGGAAGTGAGAATCTACTGGCTACTCATGCACACTCAGGCTAGGGCCAGCCCTACCATGTGACCAGGACACATTCTACAGGCACCGGGCCTTCCCCCGAATCCACTTCCCTCTGTGTTCCACACAGCAGGCAGGAACTTAGCAGTGTGTGGTTACTGATTTTGCTTACTAACTTGTTTCTACAGGAAACCAGGAATCACCAACGGTTTTAGAGAAACAAAATGGCAGGGCCTCCTCCCCAGCCTGGAGCTAAGGAAATAAACTAGTTGCACAGAGGCCTCCACTTGTGGAACCCTCCCAGCAGTCTGCAGAGTGTGCATTAATTATCATCCCATTCTACAGATCAGGAGTGTGAATCTCAGAGTAAGTGCCAACTGGCTGAAGGTCACAAGACATGATGAAGGGCATGGCCAGGTTTAGACCCAGGCATTCCTTCCTCTTACATATTCTTGAGTGCAAATGCTCTGAGATGGCCATGTGTCCAGAATGACAGGTGCACAGTGGGGCAGCAGGGAAGTCCTGGTAGAAGCAACTGGAGCTAGCCCTGAAGGAGCAAAGAGCTGACACATCACTGAGGCTGGACTGTGTGTGTGTGTGTGTGTGTGTGTGTGTGTGTGTGTGTGTATCCAAGGTTTCCAGCTGAGCTGACTTCATGGACCATGGTAAGAAATGCAAGCCCACGCTCATATGTCAACCAGTAGCCACTGTCTCTGCACCTTTGCCCTCTCTTTATGCTTTCTTTATGAAGGGAATTGTGAGATATGGGAGACCTACACACTCACACTCCATGTCAAGGTGAGAAGGAAAATGATCATTCCTAAAAGTGTAACAAGTTGAGAAATACTGGTTTGTAGACCCAAGATATCAGGAGCTAAAATCACCCTCCAGGACAAAGGACATAGTAAGATGCTGAAAGGTAGGGAGGACCAACCAGCCAATGAGATGTAACGTTCCCATCTTTAACAATAATCCTTCTCTATTGAAGGCAGCTCAAAGAGGACAAGAATGGGGAACTGTTTGTGCACCATAACTCACATCCAATGACTACAATCCTTTGTTGAAATTCCAAGGCTCTCAGGAAGATCTAAGGGTAGAAATTCCCCAGCTGCAAAAGGACTATCCCAAGCAGAAAGAGCCTGGTTAAAGAAGTGGTTTGTGCTGAATTCTAGATGGAAACAAGAGAAAACATTTGGTCTGAGAGGCAAGAAGCCAGGGTGGTAAGTGCCACATTGACCTGGAAAAAGAGGCCCTGGGCTTTTGATGGAGATTTCATGAGGAGGTGTTTTTGGGGTGGGAGGTGGGGGCACAGGGAAGAAGGGCAGAAACAAGGAGCTAGGTGCCTGGATTCTGGGAATGAAATTGGAATTGGAGTATGTGAAAATGGAAGAAACAGGAAGATCTGCTCATGAGATAAGAGAGAATTAGAAGCAAAAATAGTGTATCCTGCTCACCCCCACTACCTCCAAGAGAAGACTGGAGAGATGAGGAGAAGGAAGTGAAAATTGTTCCAACTGCCTTCCCATAAACCATACCTAAGATACCCTGAAATTGTTTACAATTTGGAAAGAATTCATGCTCTGAACTTAAGGCAGATTTTGGCTGGAAACTATCAGAAGAAGTAAAATCAAAGGTTTAGATCTGTGTTGTGTCTATTTTTCCCTCTCCATTCTCCTAACATCCCTACTCCCCGTGGATACCCGGAGAAACAGCCCATCAAGATCAAAGAAAAAAGAGATGAATACAATGACCAGTGAGCATTATCTGTAAAATGAAACTTTTGGTTAGCCACATATAATTCCTTTTGTATGACAGAATGGTATAAATACAGTTAAAACACATACATAACTTTTGATTAGGTCTATCACTGGTCCTGGCTAAGTGGTCTGAGATCCTAGTATATCCCTGTGAGAAGGCAGATGACGGTCTTGAGAAGGCTGTCTTGTCAAAGGGTCAGGACTAGAGCTTTCAGTAAAAATGACAGAGGAGAGGAATTCTGGTTAAGTCTAGGAAGGAAATGTCTTACCAGAGATGCTGTCTGATAGGGCACTGAATTCCCCTCCCTGAAGGTTTGCAGCAGAATCCAGATGGCCCTTATCAGGTCAGATGCTGTAGACACAGCACCACACTGGGCAGGCAATTACAGTATCTACTTCTCCACACTTAGGAAAGCCCTTTATGCTCAGGGCTTCTGTTGCTTCCTTCCCCTTAAATATCAAACTGGGGAAATAATCCCTGTTCTCTTCCTTACAACAACATGGTGACAGAAAAGTGACACAATAGCCTGGACGCTTCATGTAACATGAACACCATGTAAATACAGCACAACTCTGTAGTACTTTAAATGCTTCTAAGTGCTCACAGGCCTCCCAGGTAAGATGAGAGTTGCAGACGCATCCTGGACCAGGTATGCCTTGCAAGGACTGGCACCAGGAATTTGCTGGACCCAGCTGGGGTAGGTGACATGCCACCCTGAAATCCAGACCTTCTAAAGTAGAAGCTTGGCCTGAAAGGTATAGCCCCAAGTAAGCCTCACACCAGAGAAGAAACAGCTCACTACTGGGGGAAGGCAGGCAAGAAAAGGAGGAGGAGGGAAAAAGAAACTAAGTCATAAATACATATCATTTTCAGCTTGCAAAGGACCTTAGTTCTTGCTGCCAGCCCCCAGTGAATATGAGATGTTACACATCCAGTGAGAGGCAAAGAGATGCTAGAAGCCAGGCTTCCTGCCCCAGCACCAGGTCACCACAGCCCTCTGTCTATCAAAATTCTCAACACATCTCCTGTTTGTCATCACTATGCCTATCTTGAACCGGAGTTCAAGAAAGGAGCAAGAAGGAGTGACAAGAAGCAGCTCCCTGCTTAAATGGGAAGAGAACCTGCAAAATATATAAAGGGCTAAAAAGATGGCAGTCCAAAAAAAACTGTCATCTTAAAGAGCAGGAGAAAATACCAGGTTATGCCACCAGAAGAAAAGGCTCAGCAATTACTCCAAGAAATGGGGCTCTGTCTCCTAACCACACACTTGGCCCTTGAGACTTATACTTTCCTCCACCCCTCTTTAATCTGCTACCCCCAAGAAGCACACTTGTCACAAGTGTGGAGAGCCCTAAGGACCAGAATCCCTCAACCTAAGTTCTCCTGGACTTATGCACCTTTTCCACCATCACTTGATGATCTCAAGTACTGTTTAACAGCAACAAAAGGAGATAAATTCAGGGCAGGCTTTTAATTGAAGACATCAAAGGTTTTTGCCAGTACACTAATTCAAGAAAAGAACAGAACCCCTAATTCAGTTTTTGTATGTAACAATTATACAAGCATCATCAAGCAATGTCAATGGTACTGTTTTACATGTACATGGCCCTGGATACTTTTCAAAATCTATCCTTTCGTTTGCTTCCAGTAACAACGTGTGAGGTGCGTATAAAGTTAGTTATCCCCGTCTTTTTGGGTGAACAAAACGTGACAGAAATAAACTGACATGTCTAGGGTGCACACTAAGAAAGTCAGAGCTAGAATAAAAATTCAACTGATCTCAAACCTGTATTCTGTTCCTCTGCTGTCACCTGAGGTTTCATGGCCTAAACCCCCTTATAGACGGAGGAGAAAGATAATTTAGGAAGTTATCTAGGCCATCTTCAATCCTCCCCGCCAAGGCAGCTCTATTCAGTTAGTTCCCCAAAACACAACAGCCTGCATCTGCCTGGGTAATCTAGAGTCTTACTTAGCCCAAATGTGTTGAATCAGCGTTGGCCCTTATAATCTAATTCAACCTCTCTTCAGAAGCCTAAATTCTTTTCATGTTCTCCTAGGCCTGATTTCACAACTGCCATTGCACACAACCCCTTAGAAGGTAAAGAGAGGCTGGAAACAAGTCTGCATTCTAAGAGAGTGAAACAGATTGAAGCTTCCTTTGTACCCATGTGGTAAGGGTTCTCATCAGGCACTTCCTAAATGGCAGTGTCCCCAGATTTGCCCCACTGAACATTTTCTGCACAAGAGCAGCAAGCAAAAAGGCACCAAGTGGGAAGTGAGACACGAGACTTACCTTTCTTCTCTTCTCTTAGCTGCTACCCTGGAGATCACCAAACCCCCTTCCAGCACTCCATTTCCAAAACTTAGAATCCCAAATCAGATACACCAAAGTGCAGTTTCTCTCCTCTTATCCAGGTCCAAAGTCCATGGCTGAGTGGACTCTGAAGGGGAGGAGTCTGGGGGGGAAGGGGTATGTCCAGGCCCCTCCCCCCCCACTGCAGGGTTCAGTGTCCCTCTCAGGGGTCTGTTACATTCCTTCATTCAGCTGGTTTATTTAGCCCAGAATCTGGTGTCTGGCAGATCCCAGGTTCTATCCCATCTCTTGCTCAGGGAAGGGAAGCCATCCACTGTGAGGGCCGGCTCGTCTGTCTTCTGCTGGGGTTCATGAGAAGAAACAAGCCATTGAACCGGCATGGCCAGAGGCTGATTTCAGTGTTAACCTGTGGAATATTTAAACATTATGACATTTTCTAATCTATTATTTGCCCAAATGGATTCCTAAGACTCCTTAACTAAATTATTATTTTGTACATTTTTATTGGAGTTCGATTTGCCAACATATAGTGTAACACCCAGTGCTCATCCCATCAAGTGCTCCCCTCAGTGCCCATCACCCAGTCACCCCATCCCCCCACCCACCTCTCCTTCCCTTACCTAAATTAGATTCCTTTACTCTGCTCTATCATCAATCGACTGTCTTGTAAAAAACAGAGAAAAGAACATCCTTCTCCTCGCTCTCTTGTTCTTGCCACACACTAATCTCCTGCATCTCCCAAGCTTCTTAGAGTGTTCAGTTTTTTAATCAGCTCTCCCTGAATGAACTAAATCCATCCCAGACCTAGATGCTGGCACCTTGCACATACATTCTTCGCTCCTTTCCCTTCACCCTCACCTCCCCCTCTGCCTCCAAAACTGTGCCAGGGATGTGATTCCTCATCTCAAACTCTTCCCGGGGCCACTGGGAGAACCGTCCTGGAATAGAGGCCTGAGTCCTGCCAGCAATAGCGGCACAGTTGGGAAGACCCCTGCCAGTCGCCCCCTCCCTTCTAAATTCATTCCTAAAGGCGCGCGCACGCGCACGCGCACACACGCACGCGCACACACGCACGCGCGCACACGCACGCGCACACACGCACGCGCGCACACCCTTCCTTCCTGTAGGGGCGTGGCGTTCACATGACCCCCGCCCCCCGCCACGAGTTTAACTCCTCCCACCCTTCTCCTCCGAACCCAGTGCTCTGTGTTCGCCGCAGAAGCGAGTGGCACTGCGACCCTCCCTGGTCCCCCCCCAACCCGGACGCTCTACAGCCCGGACGACCCTCGCCCCGTCTGCCTCGTTACCTGGGTCCCGCCGGCCGGGTGTCAGCCGGAAGCTGAGGCCCTCCCCGGTCCGAGTCCAGGCCCCAAGCTGGGTCCGGACAGGCGGCCCAGACCCCACCCCCCGGACCCCGGCGGCCGGGCCCTCCCACCCGCCGCCGCATCCGCTTCCGCCCGTGGTCCGGAAGTGAGTTCGCAAACGCCGCCTCCCCTGCTCTGGCCTCATTCTTCCGCCACGCCCTTCTCCATCCCACCCTTCACCGCCGCCACCACGAGAGCGCGGGGCGTGGGTCTGCACTGTTCCCAAGACTGAGGACGAGGCGTGGGCAGGGCCAGGTCTGAAACGGAACGGAGCTCGGGGCTCCAGCACGAGAGGGGGCGGGGCAGAGAGCACGGCGAAGGGCGGGAGCTCGCGTCGCTTCGCACAGCGCAGTAACAAGTGCGCATGCGTCCTGGCGCCTCGGCGGGTCTGCGGGGGGGACTGGGCGGGAGGGGGTGGGCCGCTTGGCCGCGGGAAGGCCCAGGGTCGCCTGGCAACCGCCCGCGGACCGCGTGCTGCCGAGGGCTCCGGCTGCGGCTGCGGGTGCTCCCGGCGAGGGACAACTCGGGAAGCACCGAGGGCCGTGTTAGCCGGTCCCGTGCTGACAGCTCTGCAGCAGGACCAAAGGAAAGTTTTATTTTCTTCATCGCTCACTTTTTCTCGCTGTCTCTCTCGCTCAGGCAAGACGGTTCCTTGGGTCAGAAGAGAGAAAGAAAAGGGTAAGAGTCCTCTAAAATGAATGCCCCCTGCCCCGCGCCCTCAGTAACGTACACGCTGTGCGAAGCACTTTACAAGCATTAATACTCAAGAGTAAAGCATTAATACTTTATTTATTTGAAGGTTTTATTGATTCATGATAGACAGAGAGAGGGAGAAGCAGGCTCCGTGCAGGGAGCCTGATGCGGGACTCGATCCCGGGACTGCAGGATCGTGCCCTGAGCCAAAGGCAGGCGCCGAGCCGCTGAGCCACCGAGGGATCCCCAGTATTAATACTTTAAATCATAAGTAGCAGGTGTCCAAGTTACCCACAACTTCTGTCTGACTAGGCTTAAAGTAATAATACTTTAAAGTATTAATACTTGCAAAGTATCGATAATATTCATACTCGTAGTATTAATACTTGGTTACCATCCCTGAACAGCAGAGAGCCAGCCTGCAATTTCAGGACCAGAAAGCAGTAGAGATGGCCTCCAGCCTCCCAGTCTGTAACACTACCGGGTGCTGCCACTATCATGTTCCATCTGAGACCTCTCCCGGAAGAACATTTCCATTCCTGCGGGGGACTTCCAAGAACCCAAAATGGCCCTGATTGTTGTTTGTTTTTTCCTTTTTTTTTAATATTTTTTTTAATTTTTATTTATTTATGATAGTCACACACACAGAGAGAGAGAGAGGCAGAGACGCAGGCAGAGGGAGAAGCAGGCTCCATGCACCGGGAGCTAGATGTGGGATTCGATCCCGGGTTTCCAGGATCGCGCCCTGGGCCAAAGGCAGGCGCTAAACTGCTGCGCCACCCAGGGATCCCTGTTTGTTTTTTCCTAAATATATTGGCCTGACTTACTCTTAAATTCAACTTGAATCCCAGAAAGAGCCACTGCTAATTTTTGGAGTTCATATCTCATTCCTTTAATGACATATCTTAGAACGGATTGGCAGCCTCTGTTTTTTCCTCCTTTCTGAAAATGCTACCCTGAGCTTCAGACTTCTGGCATATCTTTTTATTATTTACGAGAAGGAATATGTATATTTGGTCTTCATTTCATTCCTGGCTCAAAGTTCCTAAAAAACCTTGTAATTTCTTAAGTAATAAGAGCACTAGGAGCATCATTTGTTCCAATATTTGGTCATTGACTGTGGTTCCTTGGATACAGAAGCTTCTCTACTTTACACCCTCCCACACCCCACCCTATGTATCTCTTCATCTAGCTGTTCATCTGTATCCTTTAATAAATTGGTGAATGTAAATAAGTGTTTTCCTGAGTTCTGTGAGCTGCTCCAACAAATAATCAAATCCAAAGAGAGGAGATCCTGGGATCCGCCAATTTGTAGTCAAGTCAGACAGAAACTGTGGGTAACTTGGGCACCTGATCCTTATGATTGGTTATCTGAAGTGTAGTCAGTCTCATGGGACTGTGGGACCTAACGCACTAGCTACCTCCAGGTAGATAGTGTCAGAATTGAGTTAAATTGTAGGACAACCAGCTGGCATCACAGAAAATTGCTTTGTGGGAGGAAAAAAACCCACACATTTGGTGTTAGAGGGCATCAGAAGTGAAGAGTTGTATAGAGTAGAAAAGACATATGGAAGGAAAGTCTGGATTTTTCTAGTACATATATTAGTCTGACTTGCTCAACTCCAAGCTGAATCCAAGAGGGCCTATAAGTAATTTTTGGAGTTCACATGTTCTCTAGATGGATTTGCAGCCCTTACAACCCTTGGTTTTTTCCCCATTTTTGAAAATTGAAGCCTAGGCCCCAGTCTTCTAGCATAAATTCTATTCCCATGATTTCTCCAGATCACTAGCACTGACTAAGGTATATTTTTAGTACCAGAAATGTACTGGGAATGTCAAGAGTCTTGAAATGATTTATTTGGGAAGATGTCATCACAGTATTAGAAACATTCTTTTTTTTTTTTTTAATTTGTTTTTTATTTTTATTTTATGATAGTCACACAGAGAGAGAGAGAGGCTGAGACACAGGCAGAGGGAGAAGCAGGCTCTATACACTGGGAGCCCGACGTGGGATTCGATCCCGGGTCTCCAGGATCGCGCCCTGAGCCAAAGGCAGGCGCCAAACCGCTGCGCCACCCAGGGATCCCTAGAAACATTCTTAAAACAGAATTTATATTGCTATTACAGTCAAACATAACAGATCCACAAATAAGTTCTTTCCCAACTCAGACATATTCGATCCAGCTGTCTTTCTTTTCTGACTTAATGGCAACTCCGCTTGATTTACTCAGGCTCAAACCTTTAGAGCCATCCTCATACACTTCTCTTACATCCTGTACCCACATGGGAAAGTTTGTTGACCCTACATTCACGAGGGGGCAAGGTGGCGGAAGAGTAGGGTCCCCAAGTCCCCTGTCCCCACCAAATTACCTAGATAACTTTCAAATCATCCTGAAAACCTACGAATTTGGCTTGAGATTTAAAGAGAGAACAGCGGGATCCCTGGGTGGCGCAGCGGTTTGGCGCCTGCCTTTGGCCCAGGGCGCGATCCTGGAGACCCAGGATCGAATCCCACGTCGGGCTCCCGGTGCATGGAGCCTGCTTCTCCCTCTGCCTGTGTCTCTGCCTCTCTCTCTGTGACTATCATAAATAAATAAAAATTAAAAAAATAAAGAGAGAACAGCTAGAATGCCACAGTGAGAAGAGTTCGCACTTCTATCAAGGTAGGAAGAGGCTGGGGGGGGGGGGTGTAAAGAAATAAAAGGCATCCAAGGGGGAGGGGCCCAGCGAGGAGTCAGGCTAAGGCCACGTGACCCTACTTTCTTTTTTTTTTTTTTTTTTTTTTTTTTTTTTTTTTTATAAATTAATTTTTATTGGTGTTCAATTTACCAACATACAGAATAACACCCAGTGCTCCTCCCGTCAAGTGTCCCCCTCCGTGCCCGTCACCCATTCACCCCCACCCCCCGCCCTCCTCCCCTTCCACCACCCCTAGTTCATTTCCCAGAGTTAGAAGTCTTTATGTTCTGTGTCCCTTTCTGATATCTCCCACACATTTCTTCTCCCTTCCCTTATATTCCCCTTCACTATTATTCATATTCCCCAAATAAGTGAGAACATACACTGTTTGTCCTTCTCCGATTGACTTACTTCACTCAGCATAATACCCTCCAGTTCCATCCACGTTGAAGCAAATGGTGGGTATTTGTTGTTTCTAATGGCTGAGTAATATTCCATTGTATACATAAACCACATCTTCTTTATCCATTCATCTTTCGATGGGCACCGAGGCTCCTTCCACAGTTTGGCTATTGTGGACATGGCTGCTAGAAACATCGGGGTGCAGGTGCCCCGGCGTTTCATTGCATCTGAATCTTCGGGGTAAATCCCTAACAGTGCAATTGCTGGGTCGTAGGGCAGGTCTATTTTTAATTCTTTGAGGAACCTCCACACAGTTTCTAACACCTCAGCATCCCCACAGCAACCTCCATCCATCACCCAAACAACCAGGTCTCTGCTGTATTTCCCTACCCCCAAAAGCCAAAAGCCTGATCACCATACAACAGCCAAATGGATCCTGGCATTTCTCCACTCAAAACCACGGTGGCTTCCTAGTTCACTTGGAAAAAAAAGCCAAAGCCCTTAAAGAGCCCAACACCAACTAACTGCCCTGGTTATCTCTGACCTGCTCTCCCTTTGCTGATTCTGACTCAGCCACACTGCCTTCATTGCTTTTCCTCGTGACTGTTCCCTCTGCTTATAAAGCTCTTCCAGATATTTGCCTAATATACGCCCTCACCTCTTTTAAACGTTTTCTTAAATGTCACCTCAGTGAGGCCTTCCCTAACCAACCCATGTAACCCCCTCACAGCAGTGCCAGTCTATCTTAATCAGGTCCAATTTTTCCATAGCACTCACTTATCAACGAAGATGCATTATGATTACTACTTCTTGTCTGTCTATCCCAGCTAGAATATAAATTCCATATTTGGAATTTATGGCTTTCTAAAAGCCATATTTGGCTTTTGATTCCTTGCTTTATCCCAATGCAGAGCCCTTAGTAGGTGCTCAACAGATATTTGTGGAATAAATGAACAAATAAATGAAGTTGAACAGCTATTTTCATGAGTATTCTCACATGTAGAGAGAAACTATAAGTACAGTATACTTTGCATTATGATTTTTTTCTCACCATACCATGGATACTGTTCACATTTCTAAATATTCATAATATGCTTTTTAAAGATAGATTTTTGCATGCTTGTTCTAAAAAGTCAAACAATACAGAGTAGTGTCAAGAAAAAAGTAGCTTCCTTCCCCCTCTAATCCCACCCTGCTGAAGGGCACTACTTTTAAATTTAGTGGATATCCCTCCAAATATTTTCTAGACACACATACAGACACAGTACAGATTTCACAGTTCAAAGACAGGTAATGCCTAAATTCTACCTTTATTTTTTATAACTCAAGTTATTTTTTATTCTAGGCCTTCTTAGCTCTGATGGCAGGAAAACAATCTAGTTAATTCAAGGTAAATGCTAGAAGTAAATGTTTATTAACGATTAGTTACAGTTTACTTCCAGTGAATTCAGAATTTATTAATGCCTTTTTTCTATCCTTTTATCTTCGCATAATTATCTTTAAAATTATTATAAAAGAAATGGACATTCATTACAGAAAAACAGTAAACTGTAAATAAGCAAAATGAAAAATAAAAACATCTAGAAATAATCAAGCCTATGATCATATTATAATTAGCTTAATATATTATTAACGTTTTTCCATGTCAAAAAAATACTTCTGTGTCATTTTTAAAGACTGCTTCATATCCCATTATACAATGTACCATAATTCTAGTCCCTGTCTTTTTTACATTTAGGTTGTTTCCAGCATTTCACAAAATTACTTGTAGCTACATCTCTGTGCACATCCCTAATTATTTCCTCAGGATAAAATCCTGGAACTGTTGTCAAGAGGTGCACTCATTATTGAAGGCTTTTGATTCATGTTCTCAAGAGACCTACATAAAAGTGAGACTGCTTTAACACCAGCAGGTGGGAGACTCCTTTTCTCTGCCTTCCTACCAGCACTATCTTACCGTTCTTTGTCATCTCTGCCAATCTGATAGAAGAGTGGTTTTGTATTGTTTATAAGGTGTGTTTTCTTCATTACTGGTAAAGTGGAACCTGTTTTTATATCACTTTTTTCAATTGCCTACTTTCAGTTTTGCCCATTTGGACTTATCTTTGTGTCACTCATTTGTAAGAACTCTTTATAGAATATAAAATAAAATATTGTTACTTAAATTGCAAATATTTTCCCAGCTTGTTACTTGCCTTTCAAGTCTATCTTTGTGCTAATTTGACATTGCAGGTGTCAGCAGCAGTTAGGCCAGAAGTCTGGTCTTGCTGCTCATGCTCTGCCTTCAGAATAAATACTTAGGAGTACACTAGAAACGTTTGTATCTGTTTTTGGCAATGTGATACAAGGAGCAAATAAGGGGATGGAACCATAGTCTCCACATAAAAGGCCACGAATCCCCAGATGAAGATGTTTGGGGATAATTTGCATTTTCTGGAGAGCATTGACAGCTAGTGCCATCCTAGATTTTTGGAGATAACAATTTTAAATATGTTATCCCTATTAATTATCCCTATCCATACACACATAATTATCACACCATTATTCTTCTGTGTCAGGTGGATATAGTCCTGACCGTGAGCATGTTCTGACTTTGTCTTCTCTCATTCTCTTTGGCCTGGTGAGTGTTCTTTCCTAAAACGCCCTCCATCTAAATGCCTTCCATAAAATCTGATTGACTAGAATCAGACCATTTTCTAAACTCTACTTCCTGCAGCAAATCCAGGAGGTGAGGTTGGCCTTTTCTGGAACACTGAAGACAGATAACACCTACTCCCTTTTTCATGTTCCTTTTGGCTTTAAAAATTTAAAATTAAAAAAAGGAGAGTGGGGAGAGCCAGAGTTGCACTTCGAATATAGGACTGAGGAGGATGTAACAAGCTCAGACATCACCGCAGTTTAGTGTAAAGCTGGACTTCTTAAAGACATTGTAAGGAATCCTAGTAAATCCCAGAATATTAAGAAGCAACTTGAGATGAGTGGCAGGTGGAAGATACTGGGGATTTCAATTCAGTCATGGGATGAAATCTACTTAAGTACACTTAGAGTCACAGCACTTTCTTCATTTCACAATGAAAGACCATTTTGTATCTGGTCTTTCTTTAATAAATGGTATTATTTTAATTTTGAGCATTTCTCCCCAAATAGATTATGAGTTTCTTTAGGACAGAGACCTGGTACCTTAAAACTCTCACATATTTCTGTATTGGTTTAATTCAGTGAACATTTATTTACCTGCCAGCTCAGATCCTGACTCCTCTGATTTCTGTGGTAGAAGATTAGGTTTTCTTTTCCGAGGTGCAGATAATGAAATCTATCCTTCACCCCTGCCAAGGTATTCGTGAGGATCAAATGGAACCAGGGCTGTGGGAACTCTTAAAACTGCAAACAGAAATGTAAATATCTATGGGGTTTAGAGGTTTACAGATAGCAATCAGAAAATGCTACTGTGGTGGTCACATTGAGTTTTCATGAGCAATCACTTAATGCCCTCTCCATCCAAGGAAAGAGAAAGCCCTGAGGCCCACCTTCCCCTGTTCCCCCTTAGGAAGCTACTCCTATTTCTCACCTGGCCTGTCCCTTTCTCAGGGCTCTCAAAGTATGACTAGGTCATAGTGAAAGCTGATCTGTTTTTAAACACCTTTCTTTAACAATGATAAATTCTGTCACTGTGTTGGTTTGTTTTTAAATCTGTGAATTTACATTTAAACAAAGAGCATTTTGCTCAGATTAGTACTTCCTTAAACCAGCTCCATTATTGAAGTTGTCCAGTTACCTAGTGAGTATAAAAAAACCTTGGTTCCAGATGCCAAGAGGCTGAGGCTTCCCTCCTGAGCCTCCAAAGATGGTGGGGGTAGCTGGGAGAGAGAAAGAGGAAAAGGAGAAGGGAGAAGTCAAGGGAGCACAGTCCAAAACAGAAGTGCCTTTTGCCTTCAGTATTTATCTGAATACTGATAAATATTCAGTATTTCCCTCATACTGAATGTCAGAGGGAAAGAGGAGACTTACTCTCAAGAAAGAAAAAAGAAATTTACAAGTATAAAACTGAAGACATTTCAGAAGTACTGAAGTAAAGTGTTTAGAAGGACAAAAAGTCAATTCAGAGTATCTCCAGGTGTTACATGGGTCACCAGCAAGGTCTTAATGGGAAGGAGAGAGTAGCTCCTAGTTTGGGGTCAGGAATGCTTTACTTCAAGCAGAATCAAGCTCAAACAGGAATATTCCTACTCCTTATAATCTAAGCTGGTTTGGGTGTCGGGGTGCTTGGATCCTAAAGGTCCTGACTGCAGTGACCAGCTCTTACATACCGCAACCAAATCCTTCAAAGCTTCTCCTCATACAGGAGCA